GTATTTATATGGCAATTGTAAACCACTACAATTGTATTCATATGGCAATTGTAAACCACTACAATTGTATTCATATGGCAATTGTAAACCACTATAATTGTATTCATCTGGCAATTGTAAACTACTACAATTGTATTCATATGGCAATTGTAAACCACTACAATGTATCCATATGGCAATTGTAAACTACTACAATTGTATTCATATGGCAATTGTAAACTACTACAATTGTATTCATATGGCAATTGTAAACCACTACAATTGTATTCATATGGCAATTGTAAACAGCTACAATTGTATTCATATGGCAAATGTAAACCACTACAATTGTATTCATATGGCAATTGTAAACAGCTACAATTGTATTCATATGGCAATTGTAAACCACTACAATTGTATTCATATGGCAATTGTAAACTACTACAATTGTATTCATATGGCAATTGTAAACCACTACAATTGTATTTTTCAGACAATTGTAAACTACTACAATTGTATTCTTCAGACAATTGTAAACTACTACAATTGTATTCATATGACAATTGTAAACCACTACAATTGTATCCATATGACAATTGTAAACCACTACAATTGTATTCATTATGGCAATTGTAAACCACTACAATTGTATTCATGACAATTGTAAACAGCTACAATTGTATCCATATGACAATTGTAAACCACTACAATTTTATCCATATGACAATTGTAAACCACTACAATTGTATTCATTATGGCAATTATAAACCACTACAATTGTATTCATGACAATTGTAAACAGCTACAATTGTATTCATATGGCAATTGTAAACTACTACAATTGTATTCATATGGCAATTGTAAACCACTACAATTGTATTCATATGGCAATTGTAAACTAATACAATTGTATTTATATGGCAATTGTAAACCACTACAATTGTATTCATATGGCAATTTTAAACCAATACAATTGTATCCATCTGGCAATTGTAAACTACTACAATTGTTTTCATATGGCAATTGTAAACCACTACAATTGTATCCATCTGGCAATTGTAAACTACTACAATTGTATTCATATGGCAATTGTAAACCACTACAATTGTATTCATATGGCAATTGTAAACCA